TGTAATCTTTTAATGAAAGAAACTAGTAGCTGCGTGCTTTTTTTTTATAGATATTTCCAGATGTTTTGATTTTATGGTACAAAGGATGAGCAGTTGAAATGGTTCACTAGTTATTTGTTTTAAAGGAGATAAATAGTTCTCTGTCATGGTATACTTTCAAACTCAAAAACATTTTCAAATGGAATACCTCAAGAGAGTGCCCTCGGACCTATTTTATTTCTACTTTTTATTAATAATATAGCTCAGTCTTTGCAAATATGTTCTTGTTATGTGTTTGCTAATGATGTCGTTATATAATTTTCTCATAAGAATATTGATGCATAAACCATATTGTTACAAAATGATGTTCATTGATGCATAGATGGTATACTCAGAATAAATTAAAAGTTAATGTAAAAAAATACTAAAATTATGCTTTTAAGTACACGTAAGTCCTATAATTAAAAATATACATGTTTTTGTCCCTCAAATCGACAGACATATATGTGTTAGGTGTTAGTATTCAAACGCTTGTAAGCACAATGTTGTGTAGATAAGTAAGCGTTTGTAGACACGCTGCTGCAAACAGTTGTGATAACATGTAACTTTGTTAATTAATATAATCATTTTGTTGGAATTTTGAAACAATATGTATTTTATGTATATTTTGTTATCTGTATTATATTTGTGAAATTAATGTGAAATGTGAAACCAATAAATTCAACTCAACAACAACAACTCAACAGTTCAAAAGCACTATTCAACCGTTTAAAAAAGCACATACAAATGGTTTAACCGTTGTCAAATTTGGAGTGTATGCTCTACGGTTCTAAGCTGCTGATCAGCAATTTAACCGGAAACTGACTTTAGACCTAAATTAAGAAAGAGGGAGAGTTTAAAAATGATTTGTATATTCCTTATAATTATCTTTTATTTTCATTTGCTATTTTGAGCTATCATGTCCTCTTTAGGATGAAAAAAGGGTGGCGTAAGATGGGGTGCTCAGGAATAACAAGGTGAATAGAGACATAGAGTGCAAAACATGTAATTATGCTTGACTTCGACGTTATTGAATTGTTTAAATCTAAGAATTATTTACTTGAAATAAAGAATACAAATATTTTTTATTGACATAAAAAGATTAAGATATTCTTTATTGAAAATAAAGGATTAAAATATTGAAATTTATTGAAATTTACTGTGTTTTTTTTAAACACAGTAACGATACAGACCTTCATTATTTGCATACTATGTAACACGAAGAAACTGATGAACAAATTAATGACACGCCACATATTCCTTGTGTTATGGTTCAATGTTTTATTTCATATGCAAGTTACGATAAGCAAAAATCTGAATGAATAAACAAAGTTAAAACAATTTAATAGAAATGAGGACATGTTTGAAATACTATCCATTACGTCAAGCAGACTCATGGTAATTTGTGATAAACAGGTTGTTTTTATTCCATTCATTCAAAAATCATCAATATTGCATGAAAATAACCAGTATCTAATCACAAATTAAGATCTTCTATCGTTATAGATAACTCTCCCGACAAATTAATACAACCATCAAGTGAACTTTATCAAACAATCAAACATTATTCCCCATCAAAATTACATTGAATTAGTTATACGATAACCGGTCACCCTGGTAATCTAGCCTAGATGACCGTTTCCTCTGATGGTACCCTCCTTCTTACATGTTGTTTGTCAACAACTAAAGGAATAATAAGTATTACAAATCATTGTGAATATACTCTAAAACACAAGACTGAAGACATTTCAATAACTAAATAACCGCAAACTATTTATTATCAAAAAGTTACTTGACAGCTGTTTCGAAAAATATGATTATTCAGAGTTAACATCAACACATTATACAACTATAAGTGCTAAAGATTACAAGTAATATAACTAATAACCTAATAACCTCCAAAACAACTTAAATTATTATTACCAAATCAGAATGAATGGTTTATCTTACTCGCTAAAAATCAACCTACTTATGATCAAACATATAATGTGCCATGTATTACAGAATGCATGTTAATTCAACATAGCTTTAATTCAGAACAACACGAAAGTTATAAACTAACCTCATAATACATCTACAAAAGTACTTATTATCTCAATAATAACTCAAAATTAAGCCTGCCAAAAGCCTGCCAAGACGACCTCTCTGCCTACCCCATGGATGGGGGTGCAGTACAGGAGTGAATTGGTTAATACCTCTGCCCCTTGTATAACGTTTACGCTGTCTATTGCGAGATGCTGACCCTTGACGAAGTGACCGTTACATGGTTATGTACGTCATAAACTTTCTCATAGCTTTGAAACGTCATGTTTTGACTAAATGACAAGTTTGCCATAGCTTTTAATCATAACATGTGTGAATCATATTTCTTTGAAGTACGAAGTTCGTAAACATAAACATTTCTATGTTTCTTCATGTTCACTTCCTGTGGAGATATTGATAAAACAGATACATTTTGAATTGGTCTTTTCACCATAAAACAGTATACAAATGATGCACAGGTTTGAGTGCGTCGGTAGGAATTGTGTGCACAAGCTTGGATTTACTAGACACAAGGTACCTTTGAATGGTTTGAACAATGGAGTTAATAAAGCTTTAGTAACTCTATGGGTTTAGACCAAATTTAGAGGTACCGCGTGCACACCATTCCACCGACCCACGAATTAAAACTGTGCATTATCTGTTTTATCAAATGGGGGCCCCAAATCGTCAAAATTACAAAAATCTGTCATTTTACAAATTTACCAGGTGTATGGCAAAATCATGCATCTGGTAATTACCAGAAAGAATGATTTCATGAATCTTATCATGACATAATAATAATAAATAAAAAAAAATTGTTAGTGGAATGTTAGTGGAATGGATGAAAACATAATTATGTAACTTACCTTCACATTAAACTATATACTCTAAAAAAAAATTATAGAAAAGAAAGACAAAAAAAGTTATGAAAAAAACCCCAAAAACCCAAATATATTAACGATTACAAAATAAAAATGAATTATAGAAGATTTTTTTTTTAATTATAAGAATTACATGTATTTAAAAAAAAGAAGAGATATCGGTGGTATAAGAAATTTTGAGCCGTTACAACTAAAGAGCTCTAGTCAGTACGTGGTACAACCATAATTTACAAGAAGGATAATAATGCATTGGAATATGTTTAGAACAGAAAAGTGACCTACACTTTGCTTATAATTATCTCTATATATTAATTAAAGCGTACCAGTAGATAATACTACAAGGCCTTACAAATATGGTCTTGGATATATCTAAAAAAAGCAACCAATTACATTTGAAACTTTATTTATTTCTTATTTTATTTTCAAACGTTCAGCTTATTAATCGGGGAGAACAGGATCAGACAACCACTAAATTAAGCTTATTTTATCTCAGGAAGAAACATATCGATAATGCCCATAGTTACATGGAATAAACCTAGTTCAAATGATATTGAAGAATTCTTCGGCAAGAACACTCACGTTTAGGCACATCTTCCACTTATCAAGCAGTGCTAAAACTATCGTACGTATAATATGATTTGAAAGATAGATCTTTGTAGTAAAAATGGAAATTAATATGTTCAGATGTTTCTGAGTGTAGGTATTATTTTTTTAAATACCGTTCATAATCAGTAACCCCAATACTTGTTGTGGGTATTTGCGAGACAAGGGTCTTATGGACATTATTTTACCCGTCCACCCCGACGTCTGAGAACAGTCGCAAAATAATGTTTAGATACATTCTATTGCACATGCAAAAAATAAATTAGGCCTGATAACCGGTCGTCGAGAACATTCAATTTAGGCACATCGTCAACTCTTTTTCACGGATTTGAAGATATCAAATGTTACACATTTTTTCGCAGGTTGTACATGGGATTATCGATTAGATTATAATACAGCGCGTGTTTTAACAAAAGTCAAATTAAAAAGGTGTTCTAAACCTGATTAAACAGATTAAATATCAAGATAGACATGGTCAAACTCTTCATAACTAATCAAATATTGCACTGGTACATATTTTGTATTGTTTACTAATTGGCCTAAAAGTAATATGCCCGCAAAAGAAAAAAAATAGAAATGTGCTTTCCATTGTCGTTTTATATTAGCAAAAGGCAAATGAATTATATCAATTTTTTGTATAGGAATCTGAACGTCATGCTTTGGTTAACCAATGTATACGTGCAAAGTTATCGCGAAACATACTGAAAATCTTCAAGTCATAAAAGCGCTATGCTCTGTGATAAGTGGATTCTTTGTCGATTTAAAGTCGATAATCAATAAACTTAGTGGCACTCTTCAAGTTCAGGTTTCATAGGGCATATTGCATGACTTTCCATTCAGTGACACAATCACGTAAGCTTTTAAAGAATATAAAGGGAAGTTTATTTGGCTGTCACCCAATCATCTTGATTCAACTAAATCCTCATGTTTGTGTATTACAGAACTTTGTTATTCCCTGCTCATTTTTCCTGATTGAGGTGTCATCTCTGTTTGTTTAAATTAAGGCTTGCATTTCCATAATTTGATCAAACGAGTTCGTTTTCACTGGCTACCTGCCATAGCAACAAACGGAGTTGACAAAAGACTTAACTCTGTTTCGTTGACGATCAGCCATGCACACAGAAGACGAAAGATCTGATGCATGGCTGATCTTTAACTAAACGGAGTTAAGTCCTTTGTCAACTATGTTTGTTGCTACGGCAGGTAGCCAGTAAAAACGAGCTCGTTATGGAAATGCAAGCATCACTTTAAACAAACAGAACTTTGTTATTCCTTGCTCATTTTTCCTGATTGAGGTGTCATATGAAAGGGCAGAAACTGAACTTTCTAGAAATGTGAATTGTTCGTCGAAATTCAGATACCAGCCGCAATGACTTTCTGGTTTCCTTCCTTCAAATTGCTTTGAATCATTCATGCGTGAAATATGCATCATATGAGTTGCATCAAATTAAAGAGGAGGATCTAAGCTTTACAAATATGTCTTATTTATTATTTATTACTGTGATTAAGTTATGATAAAACATCGATAATTCGCGGTTTCGTTTTTTCTAGGTCGCACTGTATATTGCTTTGCATTATGTTGTAAGATGCAGATATAAAAATCAAATCAATCAATTCAATACTGAATCAAACCTTTTTCTGACAAGCTTCCGCAGTACGATTGATGTCCTGCCTACAATAAATTCTGTAATGTAATTCCGTTTTGGATTCAGCTAGAGTCCGGCAGAACAAGGTAGCATCGTCACGCGGTACGCGCTCCTGATGGCCGTAAAGATGCTCCCCATTCCAAAGGGTCTTTACTGCCTCCTGCGTGCAGTTACGTAATACTGTTCCCAACAGATTTCTGAAGTAGTTCAAATCGGATTCAAAGCCCGGCCCGTAGTCGGCAATACGGCGCCAGAGCGTGCGATTAAAATGCGAGTACAAGAGCGTATCCGCGGCATTCCACTCGCGTATTTTGTCCCTCAGGGCACCCGTGATGCTGACATTCCCAACATTGATTCGAACATTCTTCGCAATGTACGCGATGTCCTGAAAGCTCCAACAGAAGAGTTTTCGCATGATCAATAGTGATTCATCGAAGTACTCGTTGATAAGGACAAGCGTTAACTCGTCTTGAAGTTTAAATATCCATTCTTTGACAGCGGTCATATTATCATGGCGTTCTCGTTCCATTCCCAAATCGTAAATCTGGTTGTTTCGTGCGTACGCCCATCTCTTACCCATCTCCCCCTCCCATGTCATAAAACGTAAACGCTCCTGGTAAAAATTGGGATTTGCCATAAACTCTTCAATAAGTTTTGGTATTGAACAATTCTTTTGTTTTATGGTCTTGCCCTTGCCCTTGCCCTTGCCACTTTTCACCGGTGTATGCAAAAGCTTTTTTCTGCATCCTCTGAAAGCAAGACTCCCGTTTACAAGGCTGGAATTACCCAAGGCATTAATCGTGTCATTTTCAAGTGCGCTTGACTTCGAATTAGTGATTAAATTAAGAAGAATAGCATCGTGGAATTGAAAATGGTTAAAGGCACTTTCCCACTGCATTCCCGGATCACGGACGATTGTCATATATTGTGTATCTGGTGCGAAGTATTTCTCCATCACATCCCGCTGGTAGCGCACATGGACCGCCATCATGTTATAGTTTCTATAATTAGGAAAGTCATCAGCTGCGACGTGAATGGGAGGTAAGAAATGGGTCTCTGCCACTTCCTCCGTGAACGGAAGATGGTAGAAATGGCCATTCTTTGACGACTCGCGATTAAGAATGAATGACAAATTATGAAAGAACCCGTATCTGTTAATGATTGTCTGTAAGGTCGTCGAACCTGTCTTTAATGTCTTTATGTATGCGATGTTTTGAACGGGCGAACATGATGGGGGGCGAGATGAAGCTGAAATCTTTGAGGACCAGTTCCCTGGATGACTTCTTGTTGGCATGGAAACATTGTTTGCTACGATGCTCCCGTTGTAGGAAGGCACTGACGTCACATTCCAGCTAGCTGTTGGCACGGGTGTAGTAAGATGCCGGTTTTGTAGATAGAGACTTACCCGATTAAGCCTGCGATAATAAAGGGCGATAGTATTCATTATGCAGGACACAACTTTAAGAAACGTCAGAAAACGCGATAGCAAACACTTTTGAAAAACCTGGGCCCCGTCTTACAAAGAGTTACGATCGATCCAAATCAATCGTAAGTCCTCCAATCAATCGCAAGTTTGCAGTCTCCTATCTCTTATGTACATAGTTACGATTGATATCAATCGCAAATAAGTTACGATTGATATCAACTCTTTGTAAGACGGGGCCCAGATCAAGGATAGTTGTAATACCCCATTGGAATTGAGAGAATAATGGATGCGTGTCTTAAATCAAAGTCCCCAATTGTAGTCCTCCCTTTTTGGAAACTTTTTGAAAGGTTGAACCTCTGCCACTGGTTCAGAACGCCAATGCCTTAACCACTCAACCACGGAAACGGGGTAAGGGGCTTCGGGAATATAAGATTCATTTGACCGGTATAATAACATATTCAAATTTATTTATTTTCTTTCCAGAGGACCTAGTGACGATTTCTTCCCTAAACCTGATATTATTAGGGCTAGCCAAGATGTTTGTCCTACCTAGCAACAAAAATGTTATAATGCATGCAATTCAAATTCTAATTACTGAGATACAATTATTCGTAAGAGGTGAATAAAATAATTTGTAACGAGGCAATTCACAAAGACACCTTGCTTTAAATTGGTTTATTGTGTGTATAAATCACGTCGAAAAGCGATAATTATTGCATTGTACTAAATTCCCATGTGTATTTCAATTATTTTTTTTTTAATACAAAAAAAATAGTCATGCGATTAACGGTTCCCACATTACAATGGGCATTAGGTACCCGAGAAAAGTAGATATAGCTATAATAGAATTTGTCGTGATAATCACAATTATTGGGTTTTCACACAACTGACATTTTCTAACCTTTCGACCTTTTTTTCCAGATACACGACTTTCTATAAGAACAATGTAGTAATGGACATGAGGAAGGAAAAAAAAACAGTGTTGCCAATTTAAAGTGGAGGCTGTGATCCCAAAATGATTCCTGGCCTGAATGACTCGATTATAAAAGAAAAAATATCTTGCTTACCGTAAAACAGATGATAAAGTGACAATTGAGCTGGGTAGGTCTTGGTTGTTTCGAAAGACAGTGTACGTCGTAAGGATGATCGTCACAACAAGGAGTATCAGAAAGGTCCCCTTGGACTGTAGGTGGAAAAGTGACCAGAATAACCAGTGAAAGTATAAGGTCGGGGGGGGGGGGTGATTCACGAAGACTTAGATCAGGTTTAAAGGGGAAGTCAACTCTGATATATAGTTGGGTTTTATTAGAAACAGAAAAAGGAGAGAGGAACAGGCCAATGAGAGTTTGAGCAAAATACGTCCAAAAATAAGAAATTTATGAATTTGTAAATTTGTCATCAGTGAAACACAAATTTGCAACAACACTATGAAATATCTTGCGAGGTCCTCTCCAATTTGCTCTGTACAGAAATGTCATAAAATGTCATTGTCTTAGTTATGAATGATGAAATAGACTAGTTTTCAACAGGGGTTGTATAGAAACATATTTGCGGAATCGACTTACGGACATATTGCACCACAGCTTGATCTTGACAGGTGTATGCTGACAGGATATTTTCCATATAGTTTGATCAAAGCTCCACTTCCATCAGAGAGTCATCAATGTGTATACACTATACAATGAGATAACAAGGAAGTAATCAATTAAATCATTTGAGAATGCTTGCATGTGTTTGTAGATTAAAAACTTGAAATAATAAATCGTTTATTTATTTAATTTTCATGAAATATAAAATCAAACCAAATAAACATTCATAAAACAGAAGAATGAAAATGTAGAATAATCAATATCATCGGCAATATACACTGCCGCTCATATAGTTGGAATATTTTTGTTTGACCCCAATTTATGGAATTATTTTAAGAATAATTTAAAAATAATGGATCTAGATAATAGTACACATTCTCAGATTTTATTGAATAATAATTTGACAACGTGTGTTTTGCGTGACTGCTAAAGCATGTGTACGCTACTATGCTTATCAAATAGGGGACCTACGCCCTTAAGACATAAATGACAGTAATGAGGATTAATGCCCCACAAAAGGGCACTAATATAGCACATCGACACGGTTTTGATCCGGGGGCCTCACAGTTACGAGGCCATTGCTTTGTCACTGAACCATGACTGTACGCAGCGGGGGCCGCTAGGGTAGGGGGCAGTTTCCATAAGTATAACAAACACAGAAAATACAATAAATTTTCAATAATTTATTGCATTTTTATCCCGGTCCCCAACATAAACGAATCCTCTGGATGGCCATGCATTATGGCTCAAGGCATATCTTCTGGGTTATCTTCTTTTTTTTTTAATTTAAAGATAAAGTTGAGTTGTGGTCATGCAATTGCATAGTGAAAGAAACGGTGTAGAATCGATCAGAAAAGGTTGAGTAATTTTCTCAGTGGCACTACGGTTAAGATATTTACGAATTAAACCCAAATTGCGTAACTGATAACGTACTGATTTTGAGACATATTGAATTTGTGTAGACATTGTCATGTTTGAGTCGAGAAACACACCAAGGTTGCGACATACATTAGATAGGGTAGTTTCTTGTTTTCTAACTGAGTCTAGAACCATACATTATAAATTCGCATTTGGCAAGATTTAATTTAAGTGAATGTGAGTTTAACCAATTATGAACATATTGTACACAAGTCTCATTGTTATGGATAGCGCTGGCTGCATTGCTCTGATTGGGTTTGAAAGAAGTATATATTTGAATATCATCAGCATAAACATGATAAGAGAGAGAATGGTGATGAAAAATATTCTTCAAACCGGTTAAATATAACGAAACCAGCGTGGGCCCGCCCACAGAGCCTTGCGGAACTCCGCATGTAAGTGCATGGTACAAAATCTGAATGGTAGCCCTTTATCAAGACAGCTCGAGAATGACATGACAGGTATGATTTAAACCATTCCAGGGCTTGACCTTTAAAGCTTATCTGCTGTAATTTACAGGAGGGATTAGAGCGCCCTGCAAGGTCACTGGACAGGTGGTTATCTCATCAACTCAGCTCTCAGTTAACATAAGAAAAAGAGGATCATGGGGGACCAATGGTCACCGATTAGGCATTGTTTGTTACATAGAGGGCGCAAGTAGCTACAAGTAGCGCAGTGGGCCTTTAACACCGAGTGACATGAGGGTATTCACCAGAACAGTGTCAAAGGCGGAAGACAAATCAAAGAGTATCATAGCAGTTACTTTTCCGCCATCCATCTCCTGGAGTATAAAGTTGGATACATTAACAAGGAGGGTTTCTACACTGTGGTGGGGACGGTATGCAGATTGAAATGGGTCAAGGAGGTCATTATCGAGACAGTAATAATTTAATCTAGAGACCACCACACTTTCAAGTATTTTAAACAAAAACGGGAGATTAGAAACTGGACGGTAATTACTTGGTAATTCAGAATCAAGATTGGGTTTCTTGCATCATAACAATGATAACTCACAAATTATTTTTCACCTTTTCCCAGATTTCAACCTTTTCTTCAAATCTTCTTTTTGTCCCTCTGATCTTTTAATTGTTTTGCTTATCAAGAGGGAAGAGGAATATCGCCCATTCCCCGCATCGATGCCACTGCGGTTACAACGATAAAAACGTCATTTTCCAAATCCACCTTCAACATACAGAGTATAAATTAGCTCATTATTCAAAGATAACAGCAACAACCATAATGTTGTTCTCAAAATGTATATATTCAAATACATATCCAACTACAGTTCAATAATCAATCAGCAATGGCGTAGCTTTACCAGCAGAACATGAAGGTTTCATACCAATATTAAAAAGCAAAAACGTGAGAAATAAATTTAGAGTGAAAGATAATATAAAAATTGAGCATTCTATGTAGCATAAAAGAAAAAAAACATCGTCGCACACTATTGTGCGCGTAGTGAAATTTTAACACGCGCGGTGAATGGCAGACTTGTCAGGTAAATAGAAGATACGGAGAAGCTACAATTTCGCAAAATATTGTTACAGAAATTGGATGCTCGGCCGATTGCTAGGGAGGTCTGAATTGGAAGACTAGCTTTAATTGCGAGCAAGGTTTTGGGTGTGTGTAAAAGTTTGGAGCTGAGGCCGAGGTAGTTTTGAAAGTTGAGTTTTGAAGTACTTAGAAAGAGCTGGGAAGATGTTGCTCGGGCGTTTTTAATGCCAAAATGGGCAAGAACCACTATACATGTGAGTAAATGTAACTGTATAATTAGGTTGTGGCAAGTTAATATATCGGATACCACCTTCATGTTTCTTTTGAATAAACATCAGTTACTTTAAAATCATTGTTCGATAACTCTTTTCTCGCAGAGACTGTAAGAGTGTAATTGTATGTGTTTGTGACTTGGCCATGGCCTTGCGTTAGTCTGCAGGCACAGACCCTAATTTAACACTTTATCAACAAATCGTTGTGCCTTGAGAGAAGTCTAGCCAAGTTACCTACTGGCGGTAGTCTTATAGTGCAGACTCACTTTTACGACTGACAAGGGTTTGTGCTTGCAGACTAGTGGGAGGCATGCAAGCCAGCTCTGATAGTGAATGTCAATCATTGTTACCATGACAATCCCTCTCAGAGCTAAGCTCCTCCTATAAGCACAATAAATGCTTAAAGGAAACCAAAACCTTCATACTAAGTTACTTTTATTGTAAAGTTTAAGATATTTGAAAAATATCAGTGAAAATTTGAACAAAATCGGGCAAGGAATAAGGAAGTAAGATGGTTGGTTGGTTCTTCGTTTAGATGGCGCTCTTCAATCTCAAAGATTATTTGCGCCAGTCAATTTCGTGTATAGCTTTGGCGTGGGCTTCGGAAATCAAGCCCACGAGCGACTTTCCTTGGTGAAATGAAATTAATAGTGATATGGTTTTATAAAATAAAAAAAAAAAAAAAAAAAAAAAAAAAAAAAAAAAAAAAAAAGCTGCAATATTAAAATTGCATAAAATGCACATAAAAGGCGAGATGGGAGTTAGTTGCAATTGTTCATGGAAAAACCGCAAATACTTCATTTTATATATTATTACAGGATCGACATAAGTTAAGGGGATCCCTGATAGCTTTAAAAGCTATCTAAAACGATTAGTATCGTATATGTAACCCAATAATTCACGAGTAAAAATTGGGTTAGACATCAGTAATTGTTTCAGATTGGGGTTGTTCAATTTAATCCTTTCTTTTAAGAGACGTCTATCTTTGTCGTATTTTGTACAATAGAAAATAAAATGTTTAATTGTTTCATCTTCTTGACAAACTTCACAAAGACCAGTATCGTGTTGGTTAATTTGAAAAAGGTAATAATTTAAACTACAGTTACCTACTCTTAGTTGTTGTATCAAGCATTCTTCTCTGCGAGATAGGCCTTGTCTATGTATGGGCTTTGAAACGTCGCTATGCAAAGCATATAAAAATCTACCGTGTTCTGCATTGTCCCATTCTGCTTGCCATAATTTGTTATAATGGATCAAACGAGAGGCTGCCAATTCACTTCTTGTATTTGGTATAACTATGTCTATACACCTTTTCATGGCTCCTTTTTTGGCAGCCCGATCTACGATCTCATTGCCCCTAATATCGCAATGTGACGGAATCCATTCAAAAGCAACACATACATCCTTAAACTGCAAAATATTAATTATGGATAAAATTTCATTTACAATAGCACATCTAATAAAGTATGAATCGATCATTTGTAAAGCTGACAAAGCGTCGCTAAAAATTACCACCGAAGAGGATTCAATAAATGTATTAATCCACTCTAGTGCCATTAGTATGGCCACTAGTTCTGCTCTCATAATACAGACATGGGATAATCTAAAAAATTTCACCACATTGTAATGAGACACATAAAATGCGGCTCCTGTCTTCCCATCCTCGAGTTTAGAACCATCTGTATATATATGTAAAAACCCATTCCATGAATTTCCAATGCTATCTAGAACAATCGATTTTATTTCAAATGGAGGCATTTCCTTTTTTTGCACTTTGCCATGGTGTTCGAAAGACACTTGTGGTCGTGCTAACCGCCATTCTGGGATTTTCGGCAATAAGTTGGTTTGCCCTTCCACCACTACTTCGTCTCTAAAGGATCGCAGTTTAAAAGGTCCTTCTCCTATCTTCCATTCTAAGTTATTTAAATCATAGTCATCACCCAATACTTCTTTTGTTGGGTGGTTTAAAGTACTAGACAGTAAATAAACTCGAAAGTTATCATTTAACAACCTTCTACGATATCTCAGAGGCAGCTCCCCGGTCAAAACTTGTAAAGCCTCCAAGGACACATTGTGTATTGTGCCTGTAATAATTTTTAAGGCTCTGTATTGGATAGAGTCAAGTTTTTTTGTTAAAGATATACACGCAGAATCATACATTTCACTCCCATAGTCCAAAATGGATAGGATAAGTCCTTTATAAATCATCATCAAAATCTCATACTTACTTCCCCAGGGGGTGCCGGAGACACAACGTAGCAAGTTTATTCTTTTCTTACATTTATCAATGATAGAATCTATATGGACAGACCAAGTTAAATTGGAGTCAAACCTCACACCAAGGAACTTATACTGCTCGCATATAGGCAGATTATGTCCTTTTATTTGTAGAAGAATATCT